TATATATATATATATATATATATCATTACTAATGCATATATATTACAATAAAAATAATTATAATTAAATTTATTATTAAAAATAATAATAATACATAAAAATAATTATAATTAAATATATATATTATGTATATATATTACTAAAAATAAAAATAATAATAATAATGCATTATTATTTTTAATAAGTTTTAGAAAATCTAAAATGAAATCTATTTAATAAAAAGAAAAATTTTCTAAAACGATATTTATTATTAAACGTCTGTAATATTTTCTCATTGGATTTTTGAAATTTCGGTTCGATTATTTTCAAAAAACATGGAAATGAGATAACAAAAGCCATGTATGCAATATACATGTCCGGAAAACCCCACCTTAGTTGAAAAATAACAAGCTCTCTCCAGTCGAGGTTGTGTGTTCGATCCTTCCTGATGTCAAGTTTTTCCTGAACCGATCAGTTTTGCTTGATTTATCCGTTCTGCGTAGTTTATCAGCTAGTAATGGAGTCGTGTGAGTTTACTGTCTCCGATATTGTGTCTTTCGGAAAGGACTGCGAGACGTTGCGATGTCGACCCAAAGGGTTGTAGGATAGATTTCCAAAGGGTAACTATATATATATATACATGTCCAACATGTAAGAATTGGATATATCTCTAAAGATAACAAAAACAGAGTACAATAAAAAGTGATATATGGGGGTAATGAAGATTCAAACTCGAAATTGAGAAGCTGTCTGCTTAGTTTCTAACATAAATGAGAGCTACAAGAACATACAAAAAAAAAACATCAACAAAATAAATGCTAACATTCTCTTTGGCATTGCTTTTCTAAAAAAATAAAATATTCACTCTTATATATGTAATCAATAATTGGCAGTAACACATGATGGACAAATAAAAAAAAAATACAAACTTGTAGCCCAAAAAATTAAAACAAAAAAAAAACACCAAAAGAACCAAAAACCAAAAACAGAAAACAAAAAACTGAACAGAAGAAACACACCAAGGCCAAAATGAGAAGACAAAACCGCAAAAAAAAAGGAGAATGTTTTTTTCTCTGTTTGATCTCTCAAGATATGTATGCACCGGAGCAGAGAAGATCAGCCACTAGAGGCAAACAAGGAGAGTGCATTTGCTTGAGATGGAGGCAAGCAGCTTATCAATGGCTGCAACTGTTGTCCATAAACCGATAAGAGGTGGGAGAAAGCTCTTCCTACAATGGCTTTCACTTCAGCTTTCTCGACGGGCGATTCCAACACTTGGCCAAATATCTTAACCAGGTCGGGGACATGCGAAAGGATCTGGATTTTCGGCATAAAAACCACATGACCAAATGTACCCAAGAAAGCGTGTCGTCAAAGAAACATAGAGGGTGAATAAAAATGGAAGCAGTAGGTAGGCACCTGTTGATTGGATGTCAAGACGAGTGTATATATACAACTGTATACAGCCATAGATTCCTCCCGATCTTCCTTTAGCGGTAAACCTCTTAAAAACACTGGAAGTACCTGATTAAATTTGCGTAAAGGGTGAGTAATGAGTACATTAATTTCTATGGGTTTCGGAGGGGATGCAAAAAGATGAAAACTTTGGACTAGTCATTGATCAATATACTTGATTTAGGGGGACCAACTGAGGGTGAACAATAATCATCCTCGCAATAGCGCCCGCTGCGTTATCCCTGACCGCAACATCAGGTTCGGATTCCCCAAAAAGGGGGTAGATTCCACGTAATACCTCACCAACATATCTGGTATTAAATCAAGGCATACAGCATGGACTGCAAAGATTATTCATTCAGTACTCAAAGACCCAGCAAAAAACTAGAACGAAAGAAGGCTAAAGAAAAAATGATCGGAGAGAGGTCAATGCACGAAAAGCAGTCTTTTAGCATGATCTCACAACGAGCCTTGAAAAGAAAATTGCGTATTGCATAAAGATAGTAGTATGTCAGAGTAACTGATTTGAAAGAGAAGAATATGATGTGGAAAGACGGTATGCATAAAGGATACTTAAGAGCGGCTTCACCCCCGTTTTTGCATAACTCTCCAACACAGAATGCTGCATTCCTTCTGTTAGTTGCTTCCGGTGATCCCAACTCTTTAAGAACTAAGGGCATTACCCTCTGAAAGGTAGCAAGTACAACCCAAATATTAGTACAGAGATTGTCTCAGCAGCTCTAAAACCCACAAAAGAATCATAGAGTATTTGAGGCTCAGGAAAATCACATCGACATAGGCTGAAATTGGAGCACCCATGTCCTGAGCAACTTCAGCAAGACAAGCAACTACCATAGTTCTATCTTGTGGAGGACGTGAAGCTTTCTACAGACATGAGAAATGATACAGTGAGCACCTAAATTCAAGTGGAAGAAGCAACGATCCTGTGCGTAACAATTATTAACACCCACCGAAAATTTCATCAAAGGCTCGAAGAACTTAGCAAAGACAGGTTCAAAATGAGAACCCATGCACTTTGCAAAGGCGGGGAGGAGATCAGAAACAGCATCCATAAGGACCTCATCATGCCCAGAATCATCATCATCGTCGCTGTCATCATCTAACTTCTGGCAAGCCGCTTCTTCACGCAGCAGTACCAATGTTGCATCAACAAGAGGTGATAGATCTAGAAACCAATATTTTCAGATCAAGATCACCAAGGAAAAAGATTTTTCCCAGATATTTTGGTCATCAAATAGACTCAGACTAGATACTCACAAGGTTCAATGGATATGTAACCATAATCTTTCATGATGTCTGCTATACCCATACAAGCCTGTGCAACGACCTCTTTGTCATCATCGTCTGCCATAGTCTTGATATAAATCTTCATCACAATATCTGCAGTGGTACCAAAAGATCTTTCAAAACCTTCTCCCAATCAGTTTTCACATAAATCATCCTTGTTTAAGGAGCAGGAAAGAGTTTTCCATTATAAAAAGACACAAGAATTACCTAGAATTTCCTTTGCCTTTCCATTTCCATCCTGCACAAGAGGCAAGAAAGATTACACACACCGAAAACAAGTATTGATTATCCAAGGTTCAGCATTCTCTGTAACCATTAATTTTATTAACGAGAAACTGCTCAAACCCTAATTGAAAATATTGCAACTTCGTTTTAGGTATAACATAAAAGATAATAGAAACTGTATATATATATGAGAGAGGGGAAGAGAGAGATTCACGATCGTTGGTCCTCACATTAAGAGACTGGAAGATAGCATGCGCTGCTGCCAATATATCTGCAATTCCAACCGAGAAAAGTTGTTAACAACTTAGAGAACTTGAAGAATGTGCATGTCCATGCCAAGAATCATGCTCATATTAATGAAGTCAGCCGTCTAATAAACTTAATACAACTCGAGTGACAAATAAATAGCTTGCTAGCTAACAGCGAGAATTAAGGTGACAGAACAGTAGAAAAAGTAGAAATTGAAATTCAAATGACAAGAAAACTCACTTTTCAATCCGATGATTGCTTGAAGCCGGACATCTTCATGAAAATATCCAGAATGTCTTTCCATAATTTTTATCGATTCCTCCAGATAACTTATATTTAATTAAGGAATGACAGTTTTTTTTTTAATTTTGTAAAAAATTTAGAAAAGAAACATCTTCATTAGATGAAGAAACCAAAGGATACGGAGCAAAAGAAGATTTACTGTGAAGCGCAAACAACCCAAGAGCTTGTGTTGCAGCTGCCTTTTCATCTAAAACCCCTGTTCTTATGCTTAAGTTCCGTACTCTTGGTTCATCATGAGCTTCATCGTCAGAAGATACACCACCAAAACCATTCACGTTTTCATCGTCAGACTCATCAATGTCCACGGCCGACCCATCATCGAGATTACAAGAAGCAAAGACCAGGGGCATCACGTGTGGTAGATACTGTTAAAAAAGTTTTGTTACATAATGCTGCACGTAATAATGGCTATTGACAAATAAAACCTCATGAAAAGAAAATCATGCATACCTGAGCAAAACCATCATCCAAAATTTCAGCTACATTGCTGAAAAATCCATGGGTATATTCCCGTAACTCACTGAAGTCCAGTCCAAATCCCTGAAAATTGATGAAACTAAGTCTTCTCCCTTAAAAAAAACATATTTATTTTTAAAAAATAACAGTGAGATATTTACTGATATCGCGGCATCAATGAACGGTGGCAAAATGGTTTCCATTCTTAATCTTCCAACAGACATCGCGACAATTCCTACAAGTTCAGTAGCCCTTGCACGGGAGCGAAGATCTTCGTCACTTGTAAGCACCATGAAATACTTCATCAAGTCCAAGACTCTCTCAGCATATGGATTGAAAGCTTGCTCCGCAGCAGAAGCAACTGACCCAATTGCAGACTACAACAACAAGGTAATGCAAAGCCAATTAAAAGATCCCAAACCACTTCCAAAGAAACTTTGGAACACATAAATTTTCTTGTATACCATGCAAGTCTCCTGTAGATTACGCGGGCTACTTTGGAGGGCTGACAGAAGCTTTCCCATTAAAGGTTCAAGGAAAGTAACAATTTCCTCCCCCATGTTCTCACAAAATGCTGCCAAAGCATAGTAGGACTTTTCCTGCAGAGAAAACATGCAATGTCACCACAAATCTTTCACACCGACATAGTGACAGATGATGTTGTTTTTAGAACATTATGCTGCAACATGGCTGGTTCCTTATTCTACATTTACCTTCACTTCCTCAGATGAATCTTCAATAGCATTCAATATACATGGAAGAACACTCTGATAGTGTGAGACAATTTCTGGTTGAAGATACTCAGCAAATTGACCCAGTGCAAATGATGCAGCCCCTCGAACCATTTGCTCAGAATCTCTTAAAGCCCCCAAGACAACATGAAGAACAGGGTCTAACTTATCTTTCATCATATCAAAGCAACCCTCAGAGATAACACCTAAAGCCGTAACAGCAGCTTCTCGAAACTTCAAGTTCGTATTTTGACTACTTATCGAAGCAAATTCAAAAACAGGGGGGAAAACGTGTTTTGGGAGGTTCATCGCTAGTGTGTCAATAACTTCAGCAGCAGCTCGATCAGGAGCAAGATCATCATCTTCATCTTGATCAGATGACTCAGCGAGTAAGGGGCACATAACTTGCAAAATGGGTATGACTAGCTTATGTTTTTTCAGGGAGGTGTATTTGTACTTCGCCAACCATGAAACTAATTGGACCGCCTGTCAAATGAATAAAATAAACATAAGGAACAATTTCAACCATAAACTCCAAACTTCCCTAAATCAAAGACATGTTCCTCCTAACCTGATGGCGTGTACTGCTCTCGAGGTTTTGATTAGAACAAACTTCAAGAGAGAACTGCACAATTGACTTCACAGAGTCCCCAAGGAGCGGAGCAGGAGATTCAATCAGCTCATCGAATATTTCAAACGCAATAATAGCAACTTCCTCCTCACCAGAGGCAAGACACTTTCTTGACACGTTCAATATGCTGGGGATGAACTCTCGAAACTTGACCTGGTCAACAGGAATTAAATCATGAAACTGAAAGCCGAAAAACAAAACACCTAAAGTAAACAACTCAAGGAGTTACCACTTCATCACCGTCGCTTGTGAATTCCAGAAAAGAGCCAACTGCCCTGGAAAATCAATGATTTAGCAGAGAAACTATGAGAGGATAAGGACAAGGATTGTGAAAATTGTAATCCTGAACATTTCAAAGCATTAAAGTTACTTTAGAGCGGCAACTCTGACTCGACTGCTGCTTTCATCCTGCAAGCACTTTAGCAAAAGAGCTTGCAGGTCAGCAAAATATGGCCTAAACGTGTTGCCAATTGTTTCTGTCAAAGAGCTGAACAAGATCAATGCAACCTATAAAAAGCAAATTAGCATTAGATAACCGACCAAATAACCATTTCACATATCAATTTCCGACAAACGGCAACATTTTCAGATGGAAATTTACTTCACGATGGTCTTCTTGAGCACTCTGACTACACTGAAAGAGGAATGTCAATAAGTCAGGCCACTCTCCGGCAGGAACAGCATACTTCGCCACCACACTCACAACGTTTGCACTCGCACGCCTCACCGGAGGACTGCGATCATTTGATCGAAACCATTAACAAAGACCCAATTGAATCAGAGAGAGAAAAGCTATCAACAAAGAACCAATTGAAGCAGAGAGATGAAGAAACAGAAGACAGACAGGGAGACCATTAACAAAGACCCAATTGAACCAGCGAGAGGAAAATCATAAGATAGAGGAGGAGGGAGATATAAACCACAGACAACCACCAATTGAACCAGACAGGAAGAATTATCACAGAGAGAGACCTGTTCTCTATGGTGATGCTCTCAATGAGAGACTCCTTAACGTGCTGTTTGAGCTGGGGAGAGAGCTTGGCCCAGTGTCCGGTGATCTTCTTTCGGAGGAGGACGGCGGCGAGTTGCCGGACATTGGGGGTCTTCGCCGTCCGGAGGTGCTGAATTAGGGCGGGAACAACCTGTGGGTCCTTCGCGAGACGCTTGATCTGCTCCTCCGCTTGACGCCGAGCATCGTTGTCGGGCATCAGGAATTGGATCAGCAGTAGCTCCAGAGATTGCGCCATTGTTGATCTCCTGGATGCGCAGGAGGCTGCTGCTAATGCTGAGTAGGGTTTTTGCCTTTGCTTTTGTTTTGCCAGACCTTTGAGACAAGGGTTTATATGTCTCTTTACACATCTTGCAGTAGCATTTTCCGTAACTTCATTTTGGCCCCGTTGTTTTAATTTGGATCAGATAAAACCAGATTGAGTTCTAGTATGCTCAAAGATGAGCACGTGCCCAAAAGAAAAGAAAAAACCAATTTTGGTTTAGTTTCCGTGAAATATTTATAAATAAGACTTGGGAAAAAAATTATATTTTATTTGGTGTTCAAGAGAATATGTTGTATTTTTACATTTATTGTTTGTAATAGCATTTTCACCATCATTTCGATTTTTGACCCCTTAATTTTATTCGATCACATTTGGTCCTATTTCATTATTAAGCCTTTGTTAACGGCTGCTATGGTTTCAGTATAGAAAATCCGCCGGAATGGCAACTTGGCGTTGCCTCCGCGCCTCCTCTCTCTATCTCACGCGCCGCCGAATCTCCGCGCTCTCCGTCGTCCTCTCTTCTTGTCACTGCGATCACACCTTCCTACCCCATAAGTCTCTCCCGCCGCTGCCGGGGTTCTCCTCTCCCCGGCGACTATTCTCTTCTGTGTCCGAAAGAGATTTTCCAAACCCGGATTTAGGGTTTCGCGAAATCTCTGGTGGAATCAGCGATGAATCGTCTTTACCGGTTCTCACTGTTATACATTTTCTCGATGGGTTCCATCAATTCACTGGCTTGCCTTGGTGGGTTTCATTCTGTTCTTCAATTACACACAGTTAGGATCGTGTTTCAGCAATTGTTTGTTCTTCTTCGATTGAACCCATCCATTGGATATTCAGGTGGATGGTGATTGCTTCTTCTACTGTGGCTGTGAGGCTTGCGTTATTCCCTTTACTCGTACTGCAACTAAGGAAGTTGAAAAGGATCTCGGAGCTGTTACCTCAGTGTTAGTTTAACTTTCTTCTTTGCTGTTTCTGCTTACTTCTTGTTTTCAGGCAAATTACATTTTTTATAGTCGCTGAATTGCTTTTCTTTTTCATTTCTTACTTTAGGAACTAATTTGTGTGATTATTATGCGTCTTTCAACTTGACTGTCTGGAGCAGTTTGTGAGTGAGCACGAAAATTTACTTCATTGAGGTCAAACAATTTGGTCAATAAGGCCGTGACATTCAATGTTGCCTCAACGATTTCAATGATCTTCCTAGTCCTGTGTGGCCATGGTGGCATTGCCACGAGCAATCTGCATTTGTCACCTCAGTAATATTAAATGTGAAATGTGTTTCAGGGGGCACCAACCACTTATTGAAATATGTCTGCGTAGTGTTGCGTCGATTACCCTCTATGTTGCATTCTCTGAGAATGATTTCCTTTTTCCTTCTGTGACTTAATGAAGTTAGAAGACTAGCTCAGTGTATTTTCCTGCAGTGCCTACGCAGGGTTCAGAGCCTCTGTCAGCGGGGAGACTTGTTGACCAATTTTCTAGTTTTCTTAAAGAAAGTCGAGCGAACCGGTGTCCGTCCTTGTTATGGTTTTTTCCATACCTATCGGTCCAGGTGACATATCTTGTACTATAATCTTTTGTGCAAATGCTTTGTTAATAGTGGCAAAACTAGCTAGAAGGTTGTATATTTATGAAGAAGAACCAAAGTGCTTTGTCTTTGTACTTCCATTGCTTGATTTGAGTGTGTATCTCACTGCGTGAGGTCTATGAAGGTCAAATGTTTATGTGCTTTTCTGTTCCGAAAGTGAAAAGAGGCCGTTGAGAATATTGATATTAGAACAACCGTTCTTTGACATTTTGTCTTAAGTTCTAATGTGGTTATCTTTTTACCATTTTGTTTGTTGGTGCTGCCTCTTTTAACCTTTCTTCCATCAAATAACCCTTGTATTATAACCTCTTGGCTCTCTTTGTTCAATTAGGCAGGTTTATTTGACCAACTACTAGATTAAAAGGATTCAGATACCAATGAAAGGAACAAAAAATTTGAAGTTTATAATTCATGTACGGAAGGAATTTTGAATTGAATATTCATCTATATATAATATATTTCAGATGAAAATCTATATGAAGGAGGCCAACTTTTGACTTTTTATCCAAATTTCTCATCGTGAATTTGTGATCCACTTTACCATTTTATTAGTGTGCTCCACTTTCTTTTGAGCCTTCCTCTGTCTGTTTGTCTACATGTTACGATTAGCTTCTACTTGACTTGGTTTGATTTTCTTGGTTGTTAAGATTCCTCATGCAGCTGTTGTAAAAAAATTAATCAGCTACAATTGAAAGGAATCGATAACTTAGTATTCAAGCATATTTTATATGCACGAGGATCTACATGACATATGCATGTAAATATATGGCAGTGGAACTCAGTTAACGCCATTTCGAGTGCTTGACTCGTGGCTTTTTTTTATATGGATCTGGTCTTCTTTACGTTGAGAGATGTACACAATACACATATAATTTACATGTGTGTGCGTATCCACATCAAGCATGTCCACAGTTGCTTACAGTTTGGATTTCAACACCTGCAGTTCCCATGCTTTTTCCTATTGATGACGAGCATTCGGAAGATGTCGTTGGATGGTCATCCTGGATTTGATTCTGTAAGTACCATGTGAATGACTAGTATAAATGTCCTGAAATTGGACTGGAGTCTATTTCCTTATCAGCAAAGCATTTTTCCTGGTGGTTCTGTTTGTGATTAACCTTTTAGGTCTCCTCTTCAAACAACATACTCCTATTTCTCCCAAAAATACTACTCTGTTGGGAACTTTGACACTTATTTTGTGTTACCCAGTTAGACAACAATCACGAGAGAAATGAAAAATTTAGGGGCGAGCAACATTTTCTGTGAGTGTAAAACTGGAAGTGTAATATAATAGAAATGCATTAGGAGACTGATAAGTGTCCCATATTGGAAAAAGAGAGGGATTTGGGACCAATATATAAGCAAGGGTCAAATCTCCACTCTTAAGCTAGCTTTTGTGGTGGAGCTAGGGTCCAAACCAGGCTCTGATACCAATTAATAAGGTTTTGCTTATATATTGGTCCCAAATCCCTCTCTTTTTCCAATGTGGGACATTTATCAGAGACCAAGGCTATTGCAAGGATCAGTGGGCATTTAGAATGTGCTGATACTTTGTAAAATGTTTCTCTCCGGTCTAATTGGATGTCTCCTTTCCCCCTTTTTCCAACTGCGGACCATTCATATTCACTTGGTTTTTCTGTATGCTTTTTAACTGGCATGATGGCTTTGGATCATCATATGAAAACTAGGACTTAGGTAATGGGATTTATTTTATCAAGCATGTGCCTGGAATACTGCTGGGACTCATAAGCATTTTTAACCGGAAATTGTCATTCTATGTTCCTTACTTTTCCTCTTAGTCTAATCTGTTGTCTTATTTTTGCAGGGTGGTGCCTTGTGGTTCCAAAATTTGAGTGCCTTCTCAGAAGGACTTTTTGGACCAGTCTTTCCAGTTTTAATTGCTGGCTTACATTACATTAACATAAAGGTATTTTCTGTACCCTTATTGATCAAATGCTCAGTTGATGTTATATATTATGCTTTTTATGTTTCTTTTTTCTATGATTTATATTTGCATAGCTCACAATTCCAGTCTTTTAGAGGTATATGTTTTCCTTTTGACCTTTTATCTTCATTGTAGGTTTCTTTTGACTCATCCACAGTCCGTCAAACTTCTGGCCTTACTGGATTTTTCATAAAAGTGAGTGAACTAATTTACGTGTTGCATAATTTTGGTTTGTTGGATCTAGAATTCTTTTCAACCATGAGCATGACATGATATACCGGGATCGTTGGACTTGGTACTTTTTCTTCATTGCTTTTGTGTTAGTTATAAAAGGTTTCATATGTCCAGATTCTTGATACTTCAATTGTCATTTCTTGGCAGTATTACAAGTTATATTTGGAGATCTTAAGCGTGCCTCTGGTTTTTGTTGGGTATATTGTTCCTCAGGTAAGTAATATGTTCCATATCTCTTTAGAAGATAGTTATCATCTATTTGTAACTTTTAATTTTACGCTTTTGCCACCCTTGCAACTTTTTGCGCGTTTTCTACTCATCGTCACAGTATGCAGTCTCTGACATTCCATTTTTTTTTCCTACCAATTTTTTACTTTACAACTGTTTTTTCACTTTTTGCATCCTAAGTTTTGCATGTTTTTTTTTTCGTATTTCAGGGAAGTCTTGTGTATTGGGTTACTAATAGCTCAATAAGTTTATTTCAGGTATGCTATTTTGCTTCAATTTTCTCTGACTTCGCTATTGAACGCTGTCTGTGAAATTCTTTTTTGTCACATCTTGAGGAAACAAGAACGTTTATTTGCTTCTGGAAAGTGGAAAGCAAGGTTAACCTTGAAGGTTCCAAATCTGGAAATGAATAAAATCAAAGAGGAGTCAGTTTCCTGTTTTCTCTTAAGCCCTTCGTCTTTCATGAGTGAAGACAGAACAAACGAGGGGAGTGTCAGAGGTAGTAGAGTGGACTTATATAGACGAGACTATGCCTGACTTTTTATGGTGATTTACTTACATTTTGATGAAGACAGTTCTGATCAGCGGCGAGTTTGTGACTTCACTTGTAGACTTTTGAAGCAATGCTTGTAAATCAGTCATATCATATGTGGTTGGCTATGTATACATCTAAAAGTATGCACTTCTGGTTGCGTTCTGTTTGGGAAGAAAGTAACTGCTTTTACTTTTCTCATGAAGAAAACTCAACATTGCAGCATTTATCTCTCAAGCACCCTGCTGTAGCAGCAAAATTGGGTTTACTGGGCAGGAGTACCTCTTTAAGAGCTGAGGATACCATAGAGATCAATGGAGCTGCAATAAACCTTGTGGATTCTGACTCAAAAGGGCAAACAATTTCTCTACAGAATCTAACACCAGAAGAACTTCTTGCTGTAAGTGGTGGCAAACGGGAACCTGTTGTCAAGTCTACTAGGTGTGATTCTACGTTTCTTATATTCTCAATTGTGTTGATGGCAGCTTTCAGTTCAGCTCTTGTCAAAAGGTGATAGAGAAACATCAATTCACTTGCTGAGGTAGGTTTTTACGAGTTCCCTCCAGATCTCCCAAAATCATTCCTTTACCTGAATAGCATACCCTAGCATTGTTCACTCCGTAAATTATATTTTGTTTCAGATTAGCTCTTGACAAGGATCCTGAATATGTAAGAGGGTTGGTGCTTATGGGGCAGGCTTTGTTGCAGAGGATGGAGTTGTCAGAAGCTACTGAATATTTAGAGCTTGCTATTTCCAAGGTTAGATCCTTTGACGTTTCCTGTTTTTCCTCTCATTGTCAAGTGGATTATCTTTTATTTCTACTGAAGTTATCAAAATGGTTCTGCTGGATGTGGTATTCTATTCAGCTTCAGGTTTTGACATTTCAAAAATGTCAAACTACTTGAAATAAGTTTCCTACGTGGCATGCTTAGTTGTGGACCTAAGATTGTTTTATCATCTGAGGCATATTGTGCCTTCTGGTCAGTTTTTATAACTGATTGGAAACACAGATCCAATTTGTCGTGGCCAATCATTGTGTAGTAAGTTTGCATTCCCGGACCTCCTTTACTAGTTCAAACTGTTATCTTGTTTCTGTTCCAGCTTCTTGATGGGCACGCCTCAAAAGTTGAGGAGGATGCCGAGCTTTTAATGCTTGCATCCCAATGGGCTGGTGCTGCATATGTACAACAGGTTTGATTGCTTCCCTAGTTATCTTATTCTTGTATAAGATATAGTCCATTTTTTATTCCTTAGAAGTTAGAAGCAAATTCTCCTGCCAATCCTGCACTATTCGGATAGATTCCTTGTGTGGGATTTGGTCTGAAGGAATCAGATCTTGGAGTCTTGGAGCTCATCATACACTATCAGGAATGTAACCTCTTGGATCCTACACTGCAGGGAAACATGAAACGAGGAATCATACATTTGGAAAGAGTCGCAAAACTGAAGGAACCCTGTGAGCATAGAAGCAAAGAACATTACTTTGAATCATTGCTGATTCTATCAAGGTATATATGACTTCTTCACACACTCCCCCGAAAATAGATTAGTACGATAATAAACTCGAGACTTCAGGTAGAAATATTTTTTTTTAAAGTTGAGTATTCTTGTTTAAAGTATCGAAAAAAGCCTTTGTTTTTGTGTTTCAGTGCATTGTACAGAGAAGGCCAAAAGGAGGAAGCAGCGAAGATTCTGCGGTTGGTGGTTGATTACAAACCAGAGTACGAGTATCTGTTAGACCAATGTGAAGACGAGAATGATTTGGTTGGTGATCTTGTCAGCAGTAGAAGAGAGCGTTGATCTGAAATCGGTAAATACTCCATCCCAACCGGGCGGGTATTCATAATTTGTTTGAAAGTTCTTACCTTGAATTATCTGCTTTTAGTTTCAGTTTGCTTGTCTGAATAATGAGTTCTTGTCCTGACTCCTGAAGCTTGAAAGCGTGTAAAAATTAGGTCAAATCTCTTAAAAATAAACTAATTATTCTGAAATGCAACAAAAAAAAAATACACGACTTTTTAATTAACATACTAATATATTTCTTTTTCAAATTGCCAAAAGCATTTATATGCTATATGTATGTGTATGTATACATTCATACGTATGTGTGTATAACGTGAAAAAATGTATAATGAGACGTCTAATTGGCGATGCAACTAGTTTAACGTTATGTATACTTTCCTAATAATTTTGTGTTTTAGTATATTTTTTAGTGTATTTTTAGTCAAAATAAAGGTTTGTGCCTTTTTTGAATCTTTTATGAAAAGTTATTATTATTTTTAATTGTGAGTAGATACCATGTAATTTGTGTAAAACGTAAATGTTTCTATGATGGTTAGTTAATTAATGTATTTTCTACCAATTGTATCACAAGTTTTCATTCTTTTCTTGAACAAAGAAGACATAATAAATTTGGTATATTTTTTTTAAAAAAAAAAAGAAAAATAATTTGATGTTTTTGCTCACCGCAGATATGCATATCTTGTGGGCCTTTTGGTCATTTCATTGAATTCGTTCTTTCTTCCTTCATCTTCTCCGCTACTCCATATCGCTTTTCCGCATCGACAGACAAAGTACCCAAGGAGGGGCTTCTCATTTCTCATGTCCTTTCAACGATGAAGGCTTGCGACTACATGTGGACTTCGGCACCGCCGAGATTCACAGCTCGTGTTTCTCACGCGCCGTCTCTGCGGCTTTGCACTCGCCTCCACCGCGCGTCCTTCCCACGCGCCGTCGTCGTGCGCCCGAAGGCTTTCCAACGCGGTGACTTCGACCGCTTCGCCGACAGCGTGAAGTCCGGTAAGGCCTGGAGAGACGCTTGGCGCGGGGCTAACGACAGCTTCGAGCTTCTCGTCTTCGAGGCGAAGAAGACCGCCGAGCGAATCGACCGCGAGTACTCCGTCTCCCGCCGCCTCAGCTCTGCCGCGAACTCCGCGTTCGACCGCGCTCGCGAGATAGACAACGAGCTCAAGATTAGCCTTCGGTGGCGGAGTTTCTCCGTCGATTTCAGCA